CCCGGCTAATTTTTGATTTGTTGTAGAGATGAGGTCTCGCCAAATTGCCCAGGCGGGTCTCGAACCCGCGGGCTCAGGCAATCCACTCACCCAAGTGCTGGGATTATAGGCTGAGCCACTAAGGCCGGCCAAAAACTAGAAAATATTTATTTAAAAATAAAAACACTGCAAATTCTAACACCTGGAGATCAACTTTTAAATTTGCATTTCACTCTATTTATTTTACATAGCTGAATCTATACCACAAATAAAACTGTATTCCCACATGGAACATTTTAAATCCACCTGAGAAAAGTAAAGCTGGATCTCTATTACTCTCCTTTAACAAAAATATACCCTATATAGATAAAAGGTTTTATTATAAAAAGAGAAGAAAACATGGAAATAATAGAAGGAATTAAGAAAAACTGAAAATTAACTCTGGATTGGGCTTGGTGGCTCAGCCTGTAATCCCAGCACTTTGGGGGGGCCAAGGTGAGTGAATTAACTGAGCCGATGGGTTCAAGACCAGCCTGGGGAACTTGGCGAGACCTCGTCTCTATGATAAATCAAAAATTAGCCGGGCATGGTAGCACACTCCTGTAGTTTCAGCTATTTGGAAGGCTGAGGCAGAAGGATTGCTGGAGCCCAGCAGGTCAATGCTGGGATGGCCATGAATGTGCAACAGCACTCCAGCCTGGGCGATGGAATGAGACTCTAACTCAAATAAATAAATAAATAAAATAACAGTACACTGGGACTAAGAAACGTTTCTTAAATTTAAATGACAAACTAGAGAAATTGTTTGCATAGTTATAATAAAAGGTTACTACAGTATAAGTAACCTGTCGCCCAGGTTAGAGTGTAGTGGCAAGCTCCCGGCCACCGTAGCCTCAACCTGCTGGGAGCTGGCAATTCTTCCACCTCAGTCTCCAAGTAGTCAGAACTACAGGCACATGCTACCACACTCAACTAATTTTTTGATTTATTCTAAAGACGAGGTCTCATCATGTTGCCCTGGATGGTCTCAAACCCACGCGGGCTCAGGCAATTCTCTCGTCTTGGCCTCCCAAAGTGCTGGGATTATAGGCTTGAGCCACCGTGCCAGGCCTACTACAGTATTTTTCAAGCTCTTACAAACAAAAATAAACACTCTTGGGGTAGGAAATCAAAGGACTTAAAACAGAAAATGCACAAAAACCCACAAATTAACATTAAACATAGTAAAAAAAAATTGTCAGGCACAGTTGCTCATGCCTGTGATCCCAGCATTTTGGGAGGCTGAAGCAAGTCAACTGCTTGAACCCAGGAGTGTGAGACTAGCCTGGGCAGCATAGTGAAACCTTGTATCTAAAAAAATAAATAAAAGCCGGGCTCGGTGGCTCAGCCTGTAATCCCGCACTTTGGGAGGCTGAGGTGAGTGGACTGCCTGAGCCCGCAGGTTTGAGACCCACCTCGGCAATTGGCAAGACCTCATCTCTACAATACATCAAAAAAATTAGCCGGGTGTGGTTAGTGTGCGCCTGTAGTTCCGGCTACTTGGAAGGCTGAGGCGGAAGGATCGCCGGAGCCCAGCAAGGCAAGGCTGCAGTGGCCAGGAGCGTGACACTGCACTCCAGTCTGGGCGACAGAGTGAGACTCCAACTCAAAAAAAAAAAAAAAGCTTAAGGCTGGGCGTGGTGGCTCGCACCTATAATCCCAGTACTTTGTGAGGCCAAGGTGAAAGGATTGCCTGAGCCCAGTTTCAAGACTAGCCTGGGTAACTAGGCAAGACCTCATCTCTACAATATATCAAAAAATTAGCTGGGTATGGTGGTGTGTGACTGTAGTTCCAGCTACTTGGAATACTGAGGTGGAAGGATAGCCTGAGCCCAGCAGGTTGAGGCTGCGGTGGGTGTGAGTGTGCCACTGCACTCCATCCTGGGCGACAGAGTGAAACTCCAACTCAGAAAAAAAAAATTTTTTTTAAATGCAAAATGTAGCCAGGCTCCGTGTCTCAGCCTGTAATTCCGCGCCTTGGGAGGCTGAGGTGAGTAGATTGCCTGAGCCCGCGGGTTCGAGACCCGCCTGGGCAACTTGGTGAGATCCCATCTCTACAATAAATAAAAAAATTAGCCAGGTGTGGTAGCTCGCGCCTGTAGTTCCAGCTACTTGGAAGGCTGAGGCGGAAGGATCGCCGGAGTCCAGCAGGTCGAGGCTGCGGTGGCCGGGAGCAGACACCGCACTCCAGTCTGGGCAACTGAGACTCCAACTCAAAAAAAAAAAAAAAAAATTCTAAATGTATATTTCCCCCCAGAAAACATGCTTTTAGGAATTTATCTTAAGAAGATTATTTTATATAATTAATTAATTTTTTGAGTTATAGCCTCACTCTGTCCCCCAGGCAGGAGTGTAGTGGCACATTCATGGCTACCACAGCCTTGACCTGCTGGATTCAGGCAATCCTTCTGCCTGAGCTGGAACCACAGGTGCACACCACCACATCTGGTTAATTTTTTTTATTCATTGTAGAGATGAGGTCTCACCAAGTTGCCCAGGTTGGTCTCGAACCTCTGGGATCAGGCAATCCTCTTGCCTCTGCCTCCCAAAGTGCTGGGATTACAGGCATAAACCACCACGCCTGGCTAAGATTATTTTATAATCAAAAAGGGATATACTAAAAGATATGCACTGGGACACTGTCTATAATAGTAAATAGTTGGAAACAAAGCTAAATGTTCCCTGATTGGTCTACTGTTGGCTAAGTAATGATGTTTCCTTAGGATGGAATAGACAGTCATTAAAAACGATGGATGTAAATCTTTACTCAATAAAATTAAAAAATCAGTTCCTTGCCAGGCATGGTGATACAAGTTGTAGTCCCAGCTACTTAGAAGGCTGAGATGGGTGGACTGCTTGAGCCCAGGAGTTAGTTCAAGGTCAGCCTGTGCAACAGAGTGAGACCCCATCTTTATTATATTAAAAATAGGCCAGGAGTGGTGGCTCACACCTGTAGTCCCAACACTTTCAGAGGTCAAGAGGAGGGTAGTACTTGAGCCCAGGAGTTGGAGACCCACCTGGATAACACAGCCAAGATTCTCTCTCCTCAAAGAATTAAAAAAAAAAAAGGCTGAGTGCAGTGGCAAGTGCCCATAGTCCCAGCAACTTGAGAGGCTAAGACTAAGAGGCTAAGATCACTTGAGAGTAGGTGTATGAGGTTGCAGTGAGCCATGATCATGCTACTGCACTCCAGGCTGGGTGACACAACAAGATTTGTTTTTGAAAAATAAAATAAAATAATTTTACAAAATAATTTTGAGTAAATAGAGCAAATTACCTACCTACAAAATTATCATATCATCCCTTTTATAGTAAAAACGTATGCATGTATCCCTATGTACAGATATGCAGAGAGAGAAAGATGCCCGAAAGGGTATTCACCAAAATATGCTATAACAGCAGTTATCTTTGGGACATGGGATTTCAGGTGGTTTTGAAATGTTTCAGAAGTAAGCATGGTGTATTCTGTATGAGCATGTAGTATTAGGTATCTGTAGTATCTCTATTCACATGATGGCAAGGACTGTATCCTTTTCATTCTTTCCTGGAACCAAGCACAAACTGGGTCAGAATTGGTACACCAATAATAATTATCCCCTATTTTTCTGGGAAGCAAAAAATAAAAATGGATAACTACCAAGTTATTTCTCTACAGATAACTTGTGGTTTTTGAGTGAAAATTTTTATCCAAATTTACTTTCTTTTTCTTTTTTTTTGGAGTTGGAGCCTCACTCTTGTCACCCAGGCTAGAGTGCAGTGGCACACTCACAACCACCACAGCCTTGACCTGCTGGGCTTAGGCAGTCCTTCCACCTCAGCCTTCCAAGTAGCTGGAACTACAGACGTACGCCACCATGTCCGGCAAATTTTTTAAGACTGTTTTGCAGAAATGAGGTCTCACCAAATTGTCCAGGCTGGTCTCAAACCCCCAGGCTCAGGAAATCCTCTCGCCTCAGCTTCCCAAAGTGCTGGAATTACAGGTTGAGCCACTGTGCCCGGCCTATCCAGATTTTCTATAATAAATGTATTAAAAACAACAACAAAAAATCAAGAGGCCTTCTGCCCAGTTAAAAATAAAAAGGATAAGTTGGGTGCAGTGGCTCATGCCTGTAATCCCAGCACTTTGGGAGGAGGAGATGAGACGATTGCCTGAGCCCAGGGGTTCAACACTAGCCTGGACAACTTGGTGAGACCTTTTCTCTACAGCAAATAAAAAAATTAGCCAGGCACGGTGGTGCACACCTGTGGTTCCAGCTATTTGGAAGGCTAAGGTGGAAGGATTGCCTGAACCCAGCAGGTTGAGCATGTGGTGGCCGTGAGCATGCCACTGCACTCCAGCCTGGGCAACAGTGAGACTCCAACTCAAAATAAAATAAAATAAAATAAAATAAAAAAGATAGGTTGGGTGCGGTGGCTCAAATCTGTAATCCCAGCACTTTGGGAGGCTGAGGCAAGACAACTGCCTGACCTCAGGGTTCAAGACCAGCCTGGGCATTGTAGCGAGCGCCTGTAGTTTCAGCTACATGGAAGGCTGAGGCGAAAGGATCTCCTGAGCCTAGCAGGTCGAGGATGTGGTGGCTATGAGCAGTTTGTCACTGCACTCCAGCCTGGGTGACAGAGTGAGACTACTACTCAAAAAGAAAAAAAAAAAAGGATACAAAATATATATATTCTTTCAGTCTACTTGCTCCATGTCTATATACCTGAACGTTTCATTTACAGACACGCATATACATGTGGCTTTGTAAAAAATGGGTCAGGCCAGGCTCGGTGGCTCAGCCTGTAATCCCGAGCCTTTGGGAGGCTGAGGTGAGTGGATTGCCTGAGCCCGTGGGTTTGAGACCCGCCTGGGCAGCGAGACCTCATCTCTACAATAAATCAAAAAATCAGCCGGGTGTGGTAGCGCATGCCTGTAATTCTGGCTACTTGGAAGGCTGAGGCAGAAGGATCGCCGGAGCCCAGCAGGTCGAGGCTGCGGTGGCCGGAAGCGGCCACTGCACTCCAGTCTGGGTGACAGAGTGAGACTCCAACTCAAAAAAAAAAAAAAAAAAAAAAAGAGGCTGAGCCTGCATACTATCTAACACACTCTTTCCTCTCAACGATTTATAGTAAACACTTCTTTGTGACAATACATGTTTGTATGTCATTTGCAGTATTTTATAAATATATCATGGCTTGTTTAATAATCCCTTGTTGCTAGCATTTTGAGATTGTTATCCTTTCTTTCTTTCCCTTTTCCCTTCCTTTCTTTTCCTTTCCTTTCCTCCCTCCCTTCCTTCCTTCTGAACCAGAGGTGCATACCATCACACCCAGCTATTTTTTTTATTTTATTGTAGAGACCAGGTCTTACCAATTTGCCAGGCTGGTCTTGAACCCCTGGACTCAGGCAATCCTCTCACCTTAGCCTCCCAAAGTGCTGAAATTACAGGCATGAGCCCCTGTGCCTGGCCAAGATAAAAATTTTTGTTGTCAAAAAATTTCTGGCTGGGCACGGTGGTTCACGCCTATAATCCCAGTACTTTGGGAAGCTGAAGTGAGAGGATTGCCTGAGCCCAGGGGTTTGAGACCAGCCTGGGCAACTTGGTGAGACCTCATCTCTACAATAAATCAAAAAATTAGCTGGGCGTGGTGGCATGCCCCTGTAGCTCCAACTACTTGGAAGGCTAAGGCTGAAGGATCGCCTGAGCCCAGTAGGTCGAGGCTGCAGTGGCTGTGAATGTGTCACTGCACTCTAGCCTTTGCAACAGAGTGAAACTCCAAATAAAAAAAAAAACCCACATAACTTTGACATAATCAAATCTATTAACTTTTCATTTTAGGGTATCTGCCTTTGATGTCTTGTTTATGTATTATTTTTATGTTAAGAAAAACTTTTGCCGGGCTCGGTGGCTCAGCCTGTAATCCCGTGCTTTGGGAGGCTGAGGTGACTGAATTGCCTGAGCCCGCAGGTTTGAGACCCACCTGGGCAACTTGGCGAGACCTCATCTCTACAATAAATCAAAAAACTAGCCAGGCATGGTAGCGCACGCCTGTAGTTCCAGCAACTTGGAAGGCTGAAGTGGCCGGAAGCGGCCACTGCACTCCAGTCTGGGCAACAGATTGAGACTCTAACTCAAAAAAAAAAAGAAAAACTTTTAAAAAGCTAAAGAAGTTCAGCATCTCCAAAGTCCCAAAGTAACCCCTGTGATTCAAAATCAGCCACTTACATCTGTGTCAACCCACTGGCGAACATCCATGGGTGCAGTTGTCATGTCATCTATTTTGTAAACAATGTTGGTTGGAGCCTTCTCTGTATGTCTGATTATCCCCACAATAGTGACCTAGGTTAGAAAAAAAAGAGTCTGGTTTTCCTGAAAATCAAGGTGACTTTTATGTACCTTTAAATGAAGTACAAGTCTTATGTCATTTCTCACATGATGAAATGACTCACAAATTCTTTGACATACCTGTGAAATCTCAACATTCCCAATTCTGAACACTTCATCAACCAGAGTGGCAGAAAGCAGCTGAGATATGGTACAGGGTACAATGTGCTGGGCTCGGGCTCTCTGCAAGGAAAAACATTTGCACAATTCAATTAAAAAAGTAATAACTACCACTCATTTAAATATCTGCCATGTCAAGCACTTTAAACATATTAGAACATTAAATTTTCAAAACAAGTCTTATTATCCTTGCTTCACAGAGCTGGAAACCAAGGTCATAGAGCTAAGAAATATCAGTTTTAGAGTTCAAACCTGGATTTGTTTAACTCCAAAGCTCCTGTGGAATAGGTAAGTTCGTGTTGCACTGAGAATTAACTCACATGAGCAGCCCAGAGTGGGGACAGACCCTTAAGAGAAAACCACAGCGTCAGGGTGAAGGAAGGCTGGTGCTATAGTTCAGGCCCGGATGGGATGGGATAGTAGTGGGAAATGGTTTGAGAAATGGCCAGTGTAGACAGGACTTTGCAGTTGCTGTAGGTCTCGTGATAAACTATAACAAAAAGGTAGGAATATAGTTTCCTTTAAGACAGATGTTTGACAATCAGATGGTGCTCCTGAAGAAAATGGGATAAGAGCTTGGCCACATTGGACATGTTAAAAGAAGGATGAGGTGGGCGGAAGAGAGTTTACTAAGGACACTCAAATCACATCCCAAAGCAGCCAGACAACAGTGTAAGTTCTTACTTTGCCCATCAGTGGCAAGGGGTACTCTGAGTGACATAAGATGAAACCTGTGACCCTCCGTCTCACCTAGTGCTGTTCATATCACAAGGTAGTTCTGAGAATTGATAAATACATGGGACAGTATTGGTCTTCAACACACTCCTAACCTGAGGGAGGTACAAAGGTAAACAACAAACCAATAATGGTACACCACAGAATGAAATACGCTGTGTGGGATTTCAGAGACTGATTTTTTTTTTTTTGAGTAAGAGTCTCACTTTGTCAGTCTTCTAAATAGCTGGAACTATGGGTGTGTGCCATTACGCCTAGCTAATTTTTTTTTTTTGAGTTGGAATTTCTGCTTCCCAGGCTTGAGTGCAGTGGCACACTCACAGCCACCCCAGTGTCAACCTGGTGGCTCAGGTGATCCTTCTGCCTCAGGCTTCCAAGAAGCTGGAACTACAGACATGTGCTACCATGGCTGGCTAATTTTTTTTATTTATTGTAGAGATGAGGTCTCGCCAAGTTGCCTGGGCTGGTCTTAAACCCATGGGCTCAGGCAATCCACTCACCTTGGCCTCAAAAAGTGCTGGGATTACAGGTTGAGCCACTGAATTTGGCCCCGTTTTTTGGACTTACAGAGACAAGGTCTCGCCAAGTTGCCCAGGTTGGGCTTGAACCCCTGGACTCATGCAATCCTCTCTCCTTGGCCCCCCAAAGTGCTAGGATTACAGGTGTGAGTCACCGTGCCCAGCTTGATTTCAGAAATATTAAGGAACACAGGGAGCCTTTGAGCTAAACTTTGAAGCACAAGAATTCAACAGTGAAAAAATAGCAAGTAACAAGGTAGGAGCAAATACACCCTCCCACAGTCTCTCAGAGGGAATATGTACAAGGTAGAAAAAGCAGAGCAGATGAGTGTTCTTCCTGTCAGAGATCACAGGAAGTGACTTATACCTATTCTACATGTAAAAGCATAACACAGGGAACTCTTGACCTTCATGGATTTATCAGCTGCAACTCCGGCCTGAAGATCCATGATACTGACAATACTTTACTTTGCAGAAGCATAATCTTGAATGGTGAATATTGCCAGGACAGTATAAAGTAAGCTTGGCCAGTCACTGGCACATGTCACCAAAACAGCAGAGTTTTGGGGTTTAAAGTGCAGTTCTGCCCTCAGGAGCATTTCTATACTCATCTGTACCTCAGTTTCCTTATCTGCAAAACTAAGATTGATAAAATTACAAAAACCACAGGGCAAATTACTTAGACTACATGGCACATACCAAGCACTCAGTAATAAATGTCAGCAATTATTGTTAGCTTTTGCTCCTCATTCTTTATATTTGCAATAGGTTTTTTGTTTTTTAGTTGGAGTCTCACTGTCAGCCAGACTGGAATGCAGTGGAATGCTCACCGACACTGTAGCCTTGACCTGCTGGACTCAGGTGATCCTTCCTCCTCAGCCTTCCAGATAGCTGGAACTACAGGCATGCATCACCATGCCCAGCTAACTTTTTGACTTATTGTAGAGACGAGTTCTCACCAAGTTGCCCAGGCTGGTCTCGCACCCCTGAGCTCAGGCAATCAATCCTCTTGCCTCGGCCTCCCAAAGTGCTGTGATTACAGATGTGAGTCACTGCGTCCGGCTTGCAAGCTTTTATTTTTTTATTTTTTATTTTTGAGTTGGGAGTCTCACTCTGCCGCCCAGACCAGGAGTGGCCACTGCAGCCTTGACCTGCTGGGCTCCAGCAATCCTCCCGCCTCAGCCTTCCAAGTAGCTGGAACTACAGGCGCGTGCTACCACACCCGGCTAATTTTTTGATTTATTGTAGAGATGAGGTCTTGCCAAGTTGCCCAGGTGGGTCTCGAACCCACGGGCTCAGGCAATTCACTCATGTCAGCCTCCCAAGGCGTGGGATTACAGGCTGAGCCACCGAGCCCGGTCGCAAGCTTTTAATAAGGATATGAAGGGAGCAACTATGTTTTCAATTTTATTTATTTATTTATTTTTGAGTTGGAATCTCACTCTGTCACCCAGACTGGAGTGCAGTGGCCGCTCTCGGCCAACGCAGCCTCGACTTGCTGGGCTCCAGCAATCCTTCCGCCTCAGCCTTCCGAGTAGCTGGAATTACAGGCGCGCGCTACCACGCCTGGCTGATTTTTTTATTTATTGTAGAGATGAGGTCTCGCCAACTGCCCAGGTGGGTCTCAAACCCGCAGGCTCAGGCAATCCACTCACCTCAGCCTCCCAAAGTGCGGGATTATAGGCTGAGCCACCGAACCCGGCTTTCAATTTTACTTTAAAATATTTTATAGGTGACGTTATATGCTATATTAACTTTCATAGATTTAGTATTTGCAGATGTTTCAGAATTTAAGTCTCACAAAATACTATATTTTCTGTTTTTACCTACCACACTGAGATTTTCAGTGTATCTTCAGTATAAGAATCAGTAAGGAAAAGGCAGCAAGAACATGGGCCTTGCAGTCAGACAGTTTCTATAGACTCGTACTCAAATCCCAGTTCCACAGTCCTGGGCATGTGATACCTTTTCTTTTCTTTTCTTTTTTTTGAGTTGGAGTCTCACTCTGTTGCCCAGACTAGAGTGCAGTGGCATGTTCCCAGGCACCGCAGCCTCGACCTGCTGGGCTCCGGCGATCCTTCCACCTCAGCTTTCCAAGTAGCTGGAACTACAGGCATGCACTACCACGCTAATTTTTTTATTTATTGTAGAGATGAGGTCTCGCCAAGTTGCCTGGGTGGGTCTCGAACCCGCGGTCTCAGGCAATCCACTCACCTCAGCCTCCCAAAGTGTGGGATTACAGGCTGAGCCACCAAGCCCGGCTTCTTTTTTTTTTTTTTGAGTTAGAGTCTCACTCTGTCACCCAGACTGGAGTGCACTGGCTGCTCCCAGTCACCGCAGCCTCGACCTGCTGTGCTCCGGCGATCCTTCCACCTTAGCCTTCCAAGTAGCTGGAACTACAGGTGTATACCATATGTCCAGCTCATTTTAAATTTATTGTTGAGATGAGGTCTCGCCAAATTGCCCAGGCTGAGCGGGCTCAGGCAATCCACTCACCTCAGCCTCCCAAAGCGTGGGATTACAGGCTGAGCCACTGAGCCCGGCGAGTTAATTATTTTCAAGAGGTCTAGAAGCATCCTGAAAATGTACTTATTTGAACTCTACTTTGCTACCAAAAAGATTCAAGATGACATATAGATATTATATGAATTAAGAGAATATAAAAATTATAAGTAGATGGAGGCTGGGCATGATGGCTCATTGCCTGGAATCCCAGCACTTTGGGAGACTGAGTGAGGTGGGAAGGATCGCTTGCGCTCAAGGAGTTTGAGGCTGCATTGATGTATGATTTTGCCACTGCACTCCGACAGAGCAAGGTTACATCTCTAAATAAAATAAAATATAATAAAAAAAGATAGAGAAGATGAAAGGAAAAAAGACAGAGCTAAATGAAATAAGAAAGAACTAATGTAAATAATTGAGTAGTCACAGTCATGTGGTATGTGTGTATTTCACTTTTGTTTTTAAGTTTTCTACCTGCTAAGTCATAATATGAAACTTGTTCACTTACTCGATTAATAGAGACTGTGAATTAAAAACAAATCACTTGCTTAGGAGAAGCACAAGTATCACCAACATAAAATCCAGATAGAAATAAGGAGGACTTTGTATAATATAATGCAATGGATGGCACCTTGAACAACATCTTGACTGGGGACTCCTCAAGTTCCCCAACTTCCGCTGAGCTGGTTCCATGAGTTCATAGACTCTTGGTGTCACATAAGAAAGTCCTTCTGCAAGGTCAGTTCAGTGGTGGTTCTTCAGGGTCAGTTAGGTAATTATTTTAGTACTCACATTTGGGGGAGTCACTATTTTTCTTTCCTCCTTATGTGTTTTGAACTTTCAGGGCATATATTACAACTTGTGACATAGCCCTGTCACTCTTGCTCTGAGTACTCATGTTGAAAGCATTCACTGTGTGAGCCATCCTTTTACCGTGAATCAGCAGGAAGGGTGAGCTTTCATAACATCAGTGAACAGTGAGGTAATTATTACACAATAGGTTTCTGGAGTACATGATAAAGAAATCCTGAGAAAAAAGTGAGGGTCGTCAGTGCCCCAGTGGATGTAAGGGAGAATGTAACCTGACAGAAATTTCCAGAAATAGCTTTGGTGTTCCACCCTAAACCAGAACTGTGTTAATAATTACCTTCAATTCTTTCTGAAATGAAGGGAAACATTCAGAAAAATAAATGAAATAAAATAAACAGCAAGATTTCTATGAATTTAAGGGAGAAGTAGGCTCTCTCAGTTAAGAAAGCTTTCCTCTGTGAAGCTGTCTAGGACTGCAGTTGAATGGCTTCC